CCTCTATTCTGTGTACAAAGATAACTGTTGGCCAGGCAGGTCTCATCTTCTGTCCATGTATTTCTGTTCAAGCTGCCCCACCTGCTGCATGTATTTGCTTGATAATTCTTTTCTTCCTCCTTTTTCTCTTTTGGTAGTACGAGAGCTTAAACCCTAGACTTCATGCATACCAGTGAGTTACATCCCTACAATAATAAAAAGCTATCAAAATCTAACTCAGATACCATTTCTTCCTAGTTAACATGGCCAAAAATAGTGGCTTCACTATTCTAGAATTCTTTGTCAGATGACAGATATGAGTTTAACAGCCCCAGATTTGCTTCTGGTTCTGCCTTACTATATACACACCATTTTTGCCTTATTAAAATTGCCTGTATATTGTTGTAATGACTTTTTCAACATTTTAGAAAAATAAGGAAGGATTGAGCTCTTTGGATCTTTATATATTCTATAGAATCAAGTTCAGTACTTTGTAAATGAGTTAGGTTAATGTGTACTATTAAATTGAATAAATTAATTAGCAAGCCTGGCTTTGTTACATAAATATTCTTTTTCTAGTTTTGAAGCTCTTAACTAAAAGGATAATTGTATTAAAATAGTAAATGCAAATGAATATAAGGAATGCTTAATTTAACAAACCCATTCTTGAAGTTTTAGATTGTTCCATGGTTTTGAGCTGTTTTTAATTATTCTTACCTGTTACTTCATCATTGTGTGTAGATAGAAGTTTCCAGATGAGATAAGGACCACCAAGAATAACAGCAAAGAATAGGAATATTGGCCAAGATTTTGCTGAGTTAGTTGTTTGGTCCTCGGCACCAAGGCAAGCCACAGTTCCTTCACTTTCTGCCCACAGGTCCTCGTTCTCAGAGCCTCTTCTTAAACCCATCATCCACTGTAACCGTCTATAAAGATATCTTATAGTCCTAACTAATGCAAAGGCTGAAAAAACCTTTGTAAAGTGTATTTTTAACCGGGAAAAGTGATTTGCTACATCCAATACAGCCCTGAAACTGTTATAGACAGCTGAAAAAGTAGCATCCATCATCATGCTGACAGAGGCAAATGCATGCACAATACTTTCAATGGACTGAAATGCACCTCTGCTGCTTTCTTCAGCTTGCTGAACAAACCTACTGGGAGGAAGATCATCTATACGGAGGCGGTTAAAGCCCAAACCATTGTATCCATAACTATAAGGGCTATAGCTTCCATAAAATGAATTTCCATAGGCTCCATATCCAGAAGAAAATGAACTGTAAGCAGGTCTGAAAGTGTTTACACTGTTGCTCCCCGTCTGCTGGGATGGCCTGGGAAGAATAGGTGGGGGCACTCGGGTAAGTGTTGGTTGTCCAGGTCTTGTCAATAAAGTAGGGCCCAAATCAGCAGATCTAAAACACACAAACAAAACCCCAAGTTACTTATGCACAAAATCTTTTATCTAATAAGTAAGTTTTAATTATGGCTATATATTTATTTTATTTTTTTAGAATTTCTATTTCTCTCTGATTGATTTTAGAAGTCGGTAGAGTAGGTGCCGGAGAGATGGCACTGGATACTTTTTCCAGAGGACCCGGGTTTGCTTTCTAACACCCACATAGCAGCTCACAACTGCCTACAACTCCAATAAGAAGTTAAATGGATCAGTGGCCCTCTTCTGACCTCCATGGGCACCTCCACGGCTTTAATCTTCTCTATTGTGCTTCTAGTGTCCAGAACATACTTCTTGCTTGCTATTACAACCACCGCAGTAAAGAAGACTAAGCAAGCCTATGACAGAAGGACAGATGATATCTCCTCAATGCTGTGTTAGTTTCTTCCACTCAAGCTTTTAAAAAATGTTAAACAGAAAAAAATGGCAGAATACATACATTTTTTAATGTAGATTCAATAACTACCATGATCTTACCATATTTATTTCCTCTCACTTTGGTCCACAAATTCTTGAAACATCTGAAATTAACTTCTAAACTTGATACATTTCCCCCTATGTATCTTGGAAGGCATTTCCCAAGAAAAAACATTTTAGTTACTACACTATCACTGAAAAGCTAAAAAGTTTCATGCAATCAATAATGCAATTAATATAAAAAAAAACCTAATCCATTTCCCAGAAATGTTAAATAGCTTTGAAGTAAAATTCAGTTACCATCAATTTACCCATTTATTATAAAATTCAATTGTTTTTATCTTCCTAGTTGCAGTATTTTCCTTACTCCTGAAAGACATGCGGGAATTCACAGGGAGAGAAATGAGAATCAGGATAAATCCATCCTAACAGAGCATATGGATATATATGAGAACACCATCCTGAAACCCACTGCTAGTCATACTACTAAGCAGTTTAAAATACCCTGTATTCACTAGCAGTCATTTCCAGTTTCCTTACCACCTCTAACCTTTGATAAACACAAACTTTCTTTGGCTCTATGACCTTATCTAGTCCAGATAGTTCATATATAGTTGATTTTACTTGTTGAGTTATTCTTCAAACATCTATGAAGTTTACCAATATCTAATCATTACTCCTGGGAGTAATATAGTTAGGTTCCTTTAGGCTTTACATCACTTTGAGAAAGCTCACTCTGTTCTATGACTTACTGTGTAGCTGTTCTCTCTAGAACAGAGATTAAGTGCATCTGCCACTATGCCTGTCCTTTTTTTTTTTTTTGAGAATGATTTTTTGTTTCATTTTTTAAAGATTAAACTAATAAAATTTATTTTAAAATATACAACTCAGTATTGACATTTTTTAAGTCATCAAAATAATTTATAATAGTTAAATGCCTCTTAAATATACATGATATCTTCTGAAACTAAAAGTAATATGCACTTGACCAGTTTTAAAAATCTATTTGGAACATTAAACATGATAGTAGAAAAAAGTCTCTTATGAAGTCCTCTATGAAAAGAAATTGTGACAAGTTCCTGATTAGACAGAAACTGTTCCTGCTCCAAGGGAGAATATGCAGCCTAACTGTGGCTTCAAAGAAGGAATTGGGTGGTGTTCCTTCTGTTTCTATTTTGTGGAATAGTTTGAAGAGTATTGGTATTAGGTCTTCTTTGAAGGTCTGATAGAATTCTGCACTAAACCCATCTGGTCCTGGGCTCTTTTTGGTTGGGAGACTTTTAATGACTGCTTCTATTTCTTTAGGGGCTATGGGGCTGTTTAGATGGCTTATCTGATCCTGATTTAACTTTGGTATTTGGTATCTGTCTAGAAAATTGCCCATTTCATCCAGAATTTCCAGTTTTGTTGACTATAGGCTTTTGTAGTAGGATCTGATGATTTTTTAAAAAATTTCCTCAGTTTCTGTTGTTTTATCTCCCTTTTCATTTCTGATTTTGTTAATCTGGATACTGTCTCTGTGTCCTCTGGTTTGTCTGGCTAAAGGTTTATCTATCTTGTTGATTTTCTAGAAGAACCAGCTCCTGGTTTTGTTGATTCTTTGTATAGTTCTTTTTGTTTCTACTTGGTGGATTTCAGCCCCGAGTTTGATTACTTCCTGCTGTCTACTCCTCTTGGGTGTATCTGCTTTTTGTTCTAGAGCTTTCAGGTGTGCTGTCAAGCTGCTAGTGTATGCTCTCTCCAGTTTCTTTTTAGAGGCACTCAGAGCTGAATTTTCCTCTTAGCACTGCTTTCATTGTGTCTCATAAGTTTGGGTATGTTGTGCCTTCATTTTCATTAAATTCTAAAAAGTACTTAATTTCTTTATTTCTTCCTTGACTAAGTTATCATTGAGTATGGTGTTGTTCAGCTTCCATGTGTATATGGGCTTTCTGTTGTCTTTGATGCTATTGAAGACGAGCCTTAGTCCGTGGTGATCTGATAGGATGCATGGATTATTTCAATCTTCTTGTATCTGTTGAGGCCTGTTTTGTGACCTATTACATGGTCAGTTTTGGAGAAGGTACCATGAGGTGCTGAGAAGGTATATTCTTTTGTTTTAGGTGAAATGTTCTGTTAAATCCATTTGTTCCAAAACTTGTTAGTTTCAATATGTCTCTGTTTAGTTTGTTTCCATGATCTGTCTGTTGATGAGAGTGGGATGTTGAAGTCTCCCACTATTATTGTGTGAGGTGCAATGTGTGCTTTGAGCTGTAGTAACGTTTCTTTTATGAATGTGGGTGTCCTTGCATTTGGAGCATAGATGTTCAGAATTGAGAGTTCTTCTTGGTAGATTTTTCCTTTGATGAGTATGAAATGTCCTTCCTTACCCTTTTAGATAACTTTTGGTTCAAAGTTGTTTTTATTCGATATTAGAATGGCTACTCCAGCTTGTTTCTTGGGACCATTTGCTTGAAAAATTGTTTTCCAGCCCTTTACTCTGAGGTAGTGTCTGTCTTTGACACTGAGGTATGTTTCCTATATACAGCAAAATGCTGGGTCCTGTTTACATATCCACTCTGTTAGTCTGTGTCTTTTTATTGGGGAATTGAATCCATTGATGCTAAGAGATATTAAGGATCAGTGATGGTTGCTTCCTG